TAAATTTGCAAACCGCGCAGCTGCCGCGGCGAGACGAGCCGAGCTTTAGTAATTGCCCACAAAGTGACAGTCACTGCGCCTCTTCAACGTCTCACAGGCCGTAACGCCGCAAACGTCATTGCTCGCGCCGTTGCAGTTCTCGCCTACGGTCTATGCGGCAATGTTCGCGCTCCAGGCGTTCGCGGCGGCGTGATCTTAATGACCAATTTGTGAACATGTTTATAAGGAGCCCAGACCCCCCAGTGAAAAATAAGAAGGCACCGCTCCGAACAATCAATGAACGAAGCGAATCATGGAGCTGTACTGAAGCTACCAAAGTTATCCTTAAAGGGATTTCAGGAAGATCCGAAGAACTGGAGAGAGTTTTGGAGTGCCTTTGTGGCTATTTTTGATTTTGGAAATCGTGGAAATATTGGTTTGGGATTTGCTGGTGGTGGTTGTTTCATTTCACGGTTTTCGACGCTTGGAGTGTGGCATGCATGATGGTTGCGCGACGCAAGTGCGTTGGGTCTAGCTGGTGAATGTGAAGCTACTGGAGTAAAAAACATCCCATATCAGGGTGCCGAATGTACGACCGAAAACCTTTTACACTGCACTGAATTTTTTTGGCCTGTAACATTATTCGAATTACTGTTGCAAAGCTCTTACTGTTGCATTTTTTGATCAAATGTTGCTTCATTGTCTTGTTTTTTTTTTCTGGTCATCGATGTAGGTGGCAACCTCTACTCTTCCCTATGCAGCCTTTCAAGTGGCTCCTTCTGTCGTGAATTAACATTCAGTAGAGAAAATTATGGCGTTCAATGACTTCTCTAGCGATCTTATCGATAGTGCAGCATCGCTGCTGCTGGATATTACCGATTATCGAGTCGAAAGTATAGGAGCGCAGGGGTTAGCTTCGTTGGATTACCAAAGCGATGTAACAATATCAGCTTTTGTGCCAATTGTGAGTTTTTCGGCATCCCGAAGGTTCCCAGATGACTTGCGCCGTGAGAGTCTATTTTTTTGCCCCTAGTACGCAATTTTATTGATGTCTTATGTTGTAAAAGGAAGAAGGTGCTAGCAGTATGGAAACGAAGTTGGTGGCTAAACCACTTTCGTCTTGCGCAGTTGCTCTTCGGTTCCCTATGATATGTAAATGTCTCGCCTCATAACTCGAGTTCCCTCTCCGTGATATTTAATTTGGTGATTAGAAATGAACTTGAAATTGTTTTAGTGTTACAACCCAAGTTGGAGCGCCGGGCGGGCCGGTGCGTTTATGCGTTTTTATGCGTTTTGCATCTATGCAATGCAAAAACGCATATTGTCGAGGGGTTGTCTCTGTGTGTGTGTGTGTGTG